GTCCACCATAGACTTTGTATGTAAACCTGCTGCTCCTGACGCTGAAATCGCGTTTGGTGTGAACGCACCATTAGAGTCCAACAGTCCCATACACATGTTCATTACCTCCACCCAAAACAGCTTCTATTCAAAACATCTCTGTGGATCATTTCTACATTTGTAAAGCATCTACAGGACAGTTTCCTGGAGACATCAGTAGGCCGGTCACAATAACTAATGTTGCTGGACGATAAATTGCCTCAGAAATTATTGCGATAAACGATAATATTGCTTGAAGCCCATTTTAAATCGATACAATGATACCCCCAACCCCTCGCTTTGGAAGCTCATGAAATTTGCATACGTTAAAAAAAGTTACGAACTGATCTGGACTGGAGTTTGTGGAAAAAACACACCGAACAACAGCTACTGAAGCTGTGACATTGCTACTCACCTCCACTACCCAAGCTGGCACAATTCTTTCTGCGTGTCTTCTTGATTCATAACATAACTGCGGTTACTCACACGCTGCTTACGAAATTCACAAAATTTAAGTAGTCAAACCCGAGGTTCTCACGGTGCCCTGAGGTGTCGCCAGTTGAAAGAAGGCATCAGAAAACTGAAGACGCTCCTCTCACCTGTAGCTCTCATGCTACAGAGGTTAGAGACCATGTGCCTGGTAAACACCTGATGCCAGAGCTTACTCCTCTCAATGCTAAAAGAGGGAGACACAAAGAAAACAAACAAGTAGTCAAATGAAAATTATTGACCTCATTTTAATTCATCAACCTTACTTCAATTTATCGTGTGATCAATTGATTTATTATTAATTGGTTTATTGCGACAGGCCTAGACATTACTACATATACAGTATGATGTCATGCATGTGAATGTGGTTCGTTTCGTTATCACTCTACTACAATAGACTGCAGAGAACAGGTCTGTTTTTTGTTTTCCATCAACAAAATATTTGATTTGTAATGACCTTTCCAAAGTCACTTCCCATATAGATACTCAATCACCTTTAAACAACCACCGATCAGGAATAATATGACCTGATTCACAACACGGCGTAGCATTAGTCACATATTATTTTTTAGAACCAGTCAAAAATTGTTTTTTTTTGCAACTTTCTAAAAATATTATTTGTTGTTTTTGTTAAAGCTTATTTATATTTAGAAGTAAGCTGCAAAAAGCTTGAATGGTCAGCTGATGTTTAT